ACAAATCTCACTCTGGTAAAACTTGTGAACTCTTGTGAAGCTGAAGTAAGATCGTCTAGCCACTATCCTAAAACGTGTCAACTCGAGAAACGGCTGCCTAGATGGGTCGACACATCTATGGAAAGCAAAATGCCCCCCCGTCGACAAACTGCGCCGTACAGTCTTCCATTTGTGATCGAGCGGGCGAGGTGGGCGTCCGGGTCGGTAAGTTGCAGCTTAATAGGGCGCTATAAGGTTACCTTCTTCGAGAGAGGCGCCACGCAGTGCCTGCTCAGGGATGCCGAATTCTGTCTTGCCTGGCCTATTACTCCTACACGTCTTGGGGATTTGTCATGACGCTTGCCTGTTAACTAGACTGCAGTGTTTGATGTTGCTAACACGTTTCGGACTGGGTAACCCGCTTGCATCGTACTACATTTGCTGTGGCAGCGCTAAACCTATACGGCGTTATCATTTTCACCTGCTCAATTTTTCCAGGATCTGATTTTTGGACACATTTCTTCAAACCGACATATGGGAGGTTATAGAAGTTATGCTACTTTGGATTTTCTGTTCCCCCTCATATGAATGCGATAGTTTATATATCAATATTGGCCTATAAAATTTATTACATAGTCGTTGATATTGTCAGCAAGATGCTGTTGAATACGTTGTGACGTTGAAAAGAAGCCGTTGCTCAACAGTTCTGATTCACGGCGATTGAACTTTGGGAAATGCTTGATGACAGACCAGGCAATGTTTTGGCATGAGAATTGCTGCCGAACAATAACTAACATTTCATTGCCATTATTCGTCAAAATGAACTTTTGCTCCGTTCGCTTTGGTTCGGCAAAGACGGTAGCGTACCACTAGAGCGAAGAATGGGGTCTGAAGCAGCTGCCACTTCTGCGGCGCGCACAATTGGCTGTATATCTGGTACTTCTTAGCTAGTTGACCTCGGCATACTGTACTCACGTTAAAGGCAAGTGGCAAGTAAATCCCCAAGACGTGCAGGATTACTACGCCTAGCAGGGCAGAATTCGGCGCTCCTGAGCAGGCGCTGCGAGGTGTCTTTCCTAAGGAAGGTACCCTTACAGCGCTCTATCAAGCTGCAGCATACCGGATGCCCAACGCGTTCGCCCGCCCACAAATGTCCGAGTGGTGCTGCTGCTCGTATCGTTTCATTTGCGAAGTACAGTGCAGCGACTGATATGAAGCGGCTGCGGTTCTGCATGGATATATGAGTACATCCATCCAGCCGTATCTATCACAGCGGATATTGGCACGATGCCAACGTGAAACTCGTCCGAAATTGCTTTTTAAATCGGTGAAATCGGTAGAGGGAGGTTTTTTGTAGGCTCTTTACCGTTTCACTTCGCTTTTTCGCCATTTTCCCCCTACTTAGCACCCCTGCTACCATTTTGGACCGAGTACCAAATTTTCGTGCCTTATGCCTTTAGATCACTCGGACGCTGGTACAAATGCCGTGCAAGCTCAAGCTTGGAACTCACCCTTTTCTGAGCAAGTGCGCCTCCCATAACCCACCAGAGGCCCCATGATGCCCTCTCAGCCTCCATATAAATTCCTAGGACAATCAAACGAGGGAAAATGAAAGCGCCAGCGGAGGCCAGGGGTTAGTGAACAATATGATGGGAACGGATGCGCAATTGCATTTGCACTTTGTGTGATGTGAGAGCGGCTAATGTTTGCTTTAGCTTCACTCCCGTACGTCCATTATGCTCACCTGTGCAAGCTGAACGTTTCGGGATCTGCGCGCTGCCATGTTGCGACGGTTCGGCTACCGAGGGACAGTCATTTACAAAATGGAGGATAATGGGGAGGGGAAAAGCTATGAAGGGCTTCTGTCCATTTTGGCTTACATTTCCGCTGGAGCTCTCGAGATGCTGTCCGCTAGTCCTACGGTACTTCTTGATGTGGAGCTCTTAGGAAATTCATCAACATTCCTTCCCATTTGCTTCTTTTGGGAGATACAACTCTTCAAAAACTAGGCGGTTCAGATTTCAGCGTTACACTATGCCCTAACTTCTTATAAGCTAATTCTTTGAATAAGTACATAGAAAGTACACTACATTTTGGCTCAGGTTTGGGGGGTGGGGGCAGTTGGGAAGTACTGAGAGCGTCCATGAGTGCAAACAGCGACCGTTATGAGACCCTCCTGATTAGATATTGGACAAACTTCTAGGCTGCCTTCATACTTTGCGCAGCGTCCACCGAATCCGGCAGCATCAGCGACTGGAATAGTTTAGATATCGGTCAAGCGTCTGCCAGCGTCCACCAGCGTTCGCCAGCGCCCACCAGCGTCTTGAAGACCTGGGAAGCATAGGTATCAATTTAGCGTCTACCAGCGTGTGCCAGCGTGCACCAGCGTCTACCAGCGTCCGGGAGAGGAGAGTATGGCGCGATAGAAGGATAGCAGACAGGTGGTAGAGAGTATGGCGTTAGAAGAGTGCCATTTGTCTGCCATTCTCCTATCGCGCCATATTGTCCTTTTCCGGGCCCTGATAGACGCTGGTGCAAGCTGGCAGGCGCTAGCGGACGCTAGATTGACACCTATACTTTCCCAGTCGCTGACGGACGCTCGGAACGCTCGTGGACGCTGGTAGACGCTGGCAGACGCTGCCACAAAGTTTGAACGCAGCCATAGACGAAAGTTTTCGGGGCAGTCCATTGAAAGTTCTGCTTTGTCGAAGGCTTAGGTGCACGCAGTCTCTTCCAGACAAGTGCTGGTTACATTCCAGAACTTGGCGCAGTTTCTTGGCTATTTTATATCCTATGAGGACGTCTTTCAATAAAAAAATACCTCGTCTGCGATGCACTTAAAGGTTTGCGAGCTCCATAGCAGCCGATAAAAACAGCTCTCTTACGTTTCGTTTACTCAGTCACCACGCCAGCTACTTCTGTCCACAAAGGATTACTGTAGAAATGACAACGAGGAAAGTTTAACGAAGGGCTGATTGATCCGTGGTTAAGTAGAAGAAAAAGGGAAAGACCAGGCCAAGGACCATCGGAGATCGCGTTGGCAGAAAATTTCTGCAAAATGCAAATTAATAATTAAGAAAAAATGTAAAGCCCCCCCTCAAACTTCCTCCTCTCATAGGAGCCCTCTTCACCATGCTCGATCCTACCTACCATCTCCGCTAAATTTTACCAGAAGAAGAGGGTAGGTAAAGCACGCTTGAAAAAGGAGGAACCTAGCGAGGAAAGTCAACAGCTAAAAACCTTTTTCTAAAAGGAAAATACCACCACGCCCCTACCTCCAGCGACCTCAAAACTACCCTTTCGCTTTCGACATGCAACTTGCTCTGGCGCCAGGGATAGGAGTTTGGCTAGAAGGTCATCAGCGAAGGGTTTATGGTGAGAGACTAGAGTGGGCAAGCATCCAAAAAATTTCCGAGCCACTATGCTTGAACCATTTTCAACGTAACCCGTCTTTGAGCCGCCTCTTTTTTGTGCGGAATTACTTAACAGTAAAAGTCTCTAAGTCGTTCAAAACGCCATATAGGGTTCAAAGGCTTTTGTGATATTTTTCAAAGCGGAAGCGCTGTAAATATCAAGGCGCTTTTTTCCACTACCAGCTCGCGCTATTCGTCAGCGGTATCAAAGCGCTTGACTGGAAGTGTAATTAGACACTGGCTTCGGTTCTACGGACGGACGGAATGACATGTTCTTCTAGTAGGACTGCAAATTCAGGAATCTGGTCAACTTCACTCCGAGTCGTTTCTTTGGCTAGACTGTTAGTGCAGAAAGCCATTTTTCTCACTAAGAAGCAGCTGCGGTGCTGAAGAAGCTGGCACGAAGTGCGCGTTGATATTTGAAGAAGAGCGGAGGGAGTTCCAATAATGAACGGCTTTCATTTTCTCTGCTACAGTAGCGGAAGGGGGGCATTGAATGCTGCTCTCCCTCCACTGCATCAAAAGGGCCCTGTTTGTTTCGAAGGAACTGTTTGGGTCATTCAAAAGCAGATGTGATCATCGGGTGGGTGGTCGTATTCTTTCGTTGAATGAAGCTGTCACTCACAGCGGAGTGTAGAATGGAAAGTTCCGTGACCAGGACGGAGGAAAATCCTTTTTGCCTCCTGGAAGGGGGGCACAAGTATCGAGGAAAAAAGAGAACTAGCACTAAACCAGCACTAGCAAGGAGAACCAAAATGAGTAGACTGGGTAGAATCGTTCAAGGTAACTAATTTTCATCCCAAAAATATCTTTTCCTATGGGATTTCAGGTAGTAGAGCAGGGCTGAAAGGCCCGCTCAGTCCATCGCGTGTATTAAAGTTCTAGTCCATATCTGAGTGTAGCAAAGGGGGGGGGTAGCTGTTGGATGGGCTCAAGAAGAAACGGAGTGCAGAGACCTATGTAGGATCAGAGCTTATACAGTCCCTGCCCAAGGGCGATACATACAGTCCTTTTCGTGAGGACGATGGGGCGTGTCAGGTGCGCGTTGGCTCTGGCGCGGCGTCAGCCTGTTTCCTTCGATCAGTGTGGCTTCGAGCGTTCTATAAATGGTAGGAAAAGGGCTGGCGCAGCGCCAAAACCCATACGCCGCGGGCACGCTCCGATTGACTTCAGGATGAGACGGCTCACGTCCTGGAGAGACCTCGAAGCGGCTGACGCTCGAGCAAATCCGCTCATCCTTCCCTACCGGGTCAGCCAGTACGCTTTAGCTCTGTCCTGGACAAGAAAAGCACTGGCTGATAATCAGATATGAGTTAGCCTACGCGATTCCATTGTAAAGACCATGTCGTAACTAAGCTCTACGGCCCCAAGTTGAAGTGCGTGGCGTATCCCGGAAATGAAGTATTCGCATTATTCACCGCGAACGCTTTATTTCTTACTCTTCATGACTAAATTTCTGCGAAAACAATAGAAATAGCCGTTTCTGAATTCTTTCTCCTTTAACCAAAGACCGGCTCCGTTCTCCCTTGTTATGTTCTCAATAGAATTATCGCATCTGTCATTTACGCGGAACATATTCTTCGCTCTTTCCAGAGACCTTTGTCCAGTATGTTCACACCGTTTTCCTGTTTCAGGGATTACCTGAACAAATATGACAGCGATGGGTCAGAAGATGATGATTTGTACCCCCCTCCACCACATCACAAAATTGCCACCACTACAAGTACGACGACGACAACGCCTAGGTATGTTCCATTATTTCCCTTTTTCCTTTCCCAGCAACTTACTCGACTCACGTTTCGGCTTTGTCGGGTGGGTCAGTGAGTCTATTCCAGGCCCACAGTGACTACTACGATATATCCACCATGGAGACGTCAATACCCAGCAGAACAACCAGAACCACTGCGACCGCAGTATCCGATGAGGCAGCTGGAGCAATCTAGACCAGAATATCCAGCAGTGCAACCTGCACGGCGACCAGATTACCCGGCGATTCGGCCGGAACAACAACCTCAACCACCACCTCCTGTACCTCCGCTACCACAAGCGGATCCGTATCAGTTACGGCGACAACTTGAAGAGGAACATCGCCGACGAATGCAGGAGTACTACAGTCAACAACGAGAGCGCCAGAAAGCGCTCGAGCTCGAGAGGAAGAAAGGTAACTTTCCACAAATACTATTGGATGCAGTTTGTCTTGCTTAGAATGACGGTTAGGCAGCGTTTAGACTTCGCGATTGTGTCGCTAGCGTTAGTGACCGGTTGTGTAGCGCGACTGATTCGATTGTGCTCTTGCAAAAGTCAATAAGATGCTAATTTGCAGTCATTTTCGGTTACTTTTTGCTTCTTTCTCCTCCCGCTTGCTTCTCGATTGTTTCTTCCTCCTCCTGGCACTATTATTTCTAATCTGTTTCTATTGTTTGTCAGTTGAGGGTTTTCACTCACAGGCGAATCCTCTCCAATTCGCCGGATCTTGGAAGAGCGAAAGACCTGACTGGCCCAGTCATATTACAAATTCAGGGTTTGACGCGCGCATGATATGCGGTGCTTCTCGCTTTGATACCCGCGGAAGTTTGCGGAAAAATGGAACAAGCCGATAACCAGGCCGTCACTCTCAAACTAGTGGCTGAGAAATTCTCGTTGCATGCATTAAGATTGTTCCTTCCAGAAACCACATCCTCTACAACGACGACTACCACCACAACTGTGCCTCCAATCGTATTTCCACGGCGTCCGGTACCTGCTGACACTAATATCCAAGCGAGGTTATTATCGTATTTTTCACTTCGAACCCTTTTTCTGTCCCTTCTTTCTCTTTTTCTTCTTCTTCTTCTCTCTCCTTTCCTTCCTTTCCTTTCTAGGAGCTGCTTTTCTGATGCGCCTTTTGCCCTCCAAATAGTAACCTCCAGTAGATAATCCTTGAAATTTTAGGCCTGAAGTTCAAGCAAGACCAGATCCAAGAAGACTGGAAGAGCTGGAACGTCAACGTCACGAAGAAATGCTCCGAAGGGAGCAAGAGCAGATCGTAGAACGAGCAAGAGCTCAAGCTGAAGCTCGTGCTCGTGTACTTAAACAGAATGTTGACTCGACCAAGGGCTTGGATAAAGGTAAACCCTTGCCTTCTCAACGCACTGGTTTTATTATCCTCAAGCATCTTGGTTTGTTTCAACACCCGCATGCTATATCGTCACGTGGTTTGAACTGAAATGTGAACATTCTAAAGGCACGTTCCGCGATAATCGGATGGGCGGAGACACGAGTGGAGCGAGAGTACAGTGCTGTACCTTCTCCGTTCGTGCCCCCCTCTCAGAAAACGAACAAGGAGGGGCTTTTAAGGAAGGCATGATGCTTGGGTGTCTCCGCCCACTAGATTAACGCGGAATGTGACTTTGATAATTTTTGAAGGTGATCGTGTTGACTTCTTTGAAAGGGAAATGGCTCCGAATATCGCGGAATATTCTCAAATAGCAGTGTTGGGTTCCTGTTGTTCCAATGAAATGCATTTCTATTGATATTGTTGTGTTGAAAATCCTGCTTGAAACCCATCACCTGCATGCTTATCCCCGCACTTACTCAGGGTGCGTTTGGTGATCCAAAACCAACGGCCGCCGACACTCGTCCGGCACCTCCGGTACTTACATTTCGTCGTTATCGTCCATTTGATCTGAACACTTTACTGGGGACTCATCATGCACATGTTGGCCTTCTTGACATATTACAGCAACCACATCTTGTTCGCTGTGGCACTGGCGGCGTTCTCAGGGGACAGGGGAGGGTTGGCTTGGTACCAATCTGGCAGCAAACCACATTGGTAGTGCATGCTGCGCGCCGCTCGCAAATCGGGCCCTCTGAAGCGGCCACATTCACAGGAAACAAGGCTGCATTTTGTGATTGTAATGCCGCCCTTCTATGAGCACAATTTTACTTGGCACGGTTACTGATTAATTTTCTCAATAATCCTGAATTCTGCTAATTTTACTGAAATATGAAACGATACGACTCAAATGCGACGTATTGTCTATGGTGCTTATGCAAGGCATATAGGCGGAGTCAGCCCACACTCTTACCATTTCACATTAGCTCGTGGCCTCCTCTCACAGAAATAAGGAGGCCTCCTTGGAAAAAAAAAAAAAAAAAAAAAAAAATGGTAAGATGACTGCGGCCCACACAAGAGCGTGACTTGGTTGGAAATAAAAACCGGGCGATAATTGTGATACATGTAAGAGAGCTCTAGGGCACAATCGTTGCTGGGGATCCACCAAGGGAGGGGAGGTCTATTTGTCGCTGGAAGAGAGGGTACGTATTCAGGCCGAAAAAACCTTATAATTTGTTGTTTGTTTTTTGTTTCACGGACGTTGTGCGCAGTGGGTCGTTATTTCCCTTCTGACCTTTCCTGAAAACGAGGTTTTCTGTATTTTCGCGAGGGTTTTCGCTATTTTCGTTTGTACCTATTTACCTCTCACCTCCTACGAGCTGCGACACGCTCGATGAGGGAGGAAACAGGACCGGTGCATCATCCCCCTAAGAAGGGAGGGGGCGCGCACCTTGTGCACGAAACTAATAACCATGATTTCCTGAAAGACACAGCTACAGACAAACTACGAATCCATTCTGACAGTCATAACACTTCCTATGGCTTCCGCCAGTGCATTTACTGACTTCCATCCAGCAAATAACGCAACATACAAATTACCATTTCGGCTATGAATCCCTCCTGTCTAATAATTCTTACCATCACTGCAATAATTCTTCAAGTAACTACCAAACTTCCAGGGTGGCGACGACCATTTCATGACTTCTATAGAAAGAAAAATTCAAAATTTTCATGACTACAGAAAGAGAAAATTCGAAATTTTTATGGGTAATAAAACAATGATTAGCATTCCAAAAAATGCTGCGTAAAAATAATGAAGCTGTCCTCATGAATCCCATGAGAATTTCAGCTTCATAACTTTCAAAGTTTTTTTTTGAGAAAATCCTACATGTAAAATCGAGAGATGTCCTTCAATGGCCCGGACTACTGCAATTTCGGCAAGCTATCGAGCTCATGTAGCAACTCAATCATGATGCCATGTTTGATGGGCTCTTGTAGGAACCTAAATGTTTATGCTGTCCTGTAGATGGCCATGGACGACAGGCTCTCGTCAATAGATCTACTGAGCGCGATAGCGAGATCTCTCCCTTTCAAGCGGCTACTCCCAGTGGCGATTAAACGTAGGTGACGTTTGAGCATACTTTATATAAACGGTTAACGCATTGGTACCTCGTTTCACTAACGATCAAGTGCGATTTTCTGGTGGGACTCTGTCAACGGTGCTGCGCCCTGGCCCCAATGGCTTTTGCCCACGTTTTCGAGAATCTTACGCTGATCATAGAGGCCTCAGAACCGACATCCAATCTTTCTTCCTATCAGAAGTTTGCAGAGTTTGACACTGGGAATACGCGGTAGATAATGGCGGCGCCTTAGGGTGAGATAATAAACGGAAAATCAAGAATAAATTTCAAGAAAGCACCCAAAGTGATCTGGATCTATCAGTGCTGGCAGTAGGCTCTTTTAGCAGTAGGCTCTTTTAGCAGTCTAGATTGAATAATTTCAGTTCTGAACACATGTGTTTCAGGTAGTCTCCGTAGACGAATCAGATGGAGACGAAAGTGAGATGATCACTAGGATGACGCCGAGAGTCACTACGACGAGTCCGAGGCCAACTACGACGAGGCCAACGACGACGACGACGTCTACCACCACCACCACAACAAGCACAACGTCAACAACAACAACCACGACGACACCCACGACGACCACCACCACGTCAACCACGTCCACAACGACAGCGCCAACAACCAGAAGGGCCACAACAACAACTAGACCTCCCCGGACTTACCCTCCGAGGCCGTTGACCACGACAAACAGAAGCGCTAGTCGATTATACACACTGAAAGCTACCCTGTTCTCTCAACCACCTACGACGTCAACGATGTCGTCGAGGAAAGCTCGTCCTCATAGTGCCAGGAAAACGAAAACCGACGAACCATCTGCATCTTTTCACTTAACATTGTGTACTGCTTTGATTACTGTACTATTTGTGTCGTTCCTATTGGGGTAGATCGCTTCGAATTGCAGCTATTCGACAATCGCAGCTTTCGACGATAACTCTTTCTCCTTTAATTGCTGTTGCTCATCGCTACGGGTTCTAATTCTTATTGCAATATAGTCATGCAAAGCATACTTCATAAAGCATATCATTATTCATTCGGTTCAGATTCTAATAAAGTAATATATAATATCGAGTATAAGTCAATGCTGTTGATATCTCCACTAGTCTTCTGGGGAAAGACCACATTTTCAAGGCGTCAAACGTTACACTCATAGGGCAGCGATGCGGCAAAAGGGGTGTTTCAAGTGGCGTAGCCTGGTGCGCGACATTCGAACCAGGCTATAGCACGATTGTGCGAGTTCTAGTATGGGAGTCGTACTTGATGCCCGGGGCAGAGGGTCCCTTTCGGTCTCAGAATGTGTTGATTTCTCTTGTTTTATGCGCGGAGAAGTATAAAAGAGATCCCTTGGAAGGCACGCGGTCGGAGATACTGCTCGTATTAGCGCACATATGACGGGGATGCGTGTTGCAGGGTACGGGCTCTCAATGCAGGACCATAAATGGGCTCATCATTTTGCAGTAGGTCAGCGTGGCGGCCTCACATGGATATCACGACCGGTCGTCCCGTAGAACTCAGCTGCGCCCAAATCCTGTATTTCAGTCACTTGGCAGACCGCTCATGTGGTCCTTCTATGAGTGCGTGTGTAGTGTAGTACGTGTGGTTCTTCTATTTCTCAATGAGGGACCCCTCGAAACTTGTTAGCGGCGTCGGGGTGGAGCGTCCCTCATGGAAGAAATAGTCCCCGCAACCTGGCCAAAATGGCGTTATGGTGCCGATATGACTGGTCAGTCAATATAATCCATCACACATACAGTTTTCATCGATGCTCCCTTGAAGGACAAGAAGAAAACTCAGGGCTCCTTCCTCTATTCACCTCCAATGCAGTGATTAATCGCAGCAGCAAAGAATGAATGTTATTTAGGATGCCAGAGCGGCTCTTTAAGGAGAACAAATAAAATCTTTGAAACAGATTAATGAACTATGTTGTAAAATCTAATAAATGAGAATTATTGAGGGGGGTCGAAAGCAAAGAGATAGCTCAGCTTCCGTTTCGCACGTGCCCTTAGACGGAAGCCGAGCAAAAGCATATTCCTCCTTCCGTGCTCTTCAGTAAGGAAAGGAAGAAAAATCAATTGCAGCATGTTTATAAGATATAAAGTTGAAAACGATACAGACTGAGAGGTTTAAGAATGCTAATTGCTTGGATAGCGTGAGTAGGACGTCGTAATTACGAAAAACTATCAGTTTGAT